ATTGGCTGCAGGACTAGAGCTTGGCTCTAACAAGATTTAAGGTTTGCATCAGTATTTATATGGTTTAACTACTTAGCCAGATCCAAAGAGTATGTGTACACACACACACACAAACCTACCTAAGTCTTGTGCATTACATTACTTATTACCAACTAATTGACGAGCCAAGAACATAATATTCACACTACAAACAACGTACACAAAGGTGTAGTCATTTTGGCACACACGCAAGGCTAACAGTCAGTTAAGAGGACATGAACTAGTGCAACACGTTACATTTGCTCTATTATGAAGGTAAAAGGTTTGCTTTTGGCCAGTGCAAACAGAGAATTCTTATTCACAGATGACAGGCACATGCCCCCAGAACACATGCATCACTGAAGGCAGGGTTATGTTATGCTTTGAATACCATACATGCAGGCACAAAGAATTAAAATTAATTTTATAACTACAAAAAGCCTTAAGGAAAAAACCTACTAATTACAACTTTAAAGTTTTGGTTTTGGAGGAAGGTACATGAGGATTTTTTCTACAGATGGTTATAGATGGCTAGGATACCTATCACCTGCAAGTCAAATCCATAGTAGTCATTTGCCTTTTTGTTCTGCCTAATCTCAGCTACCATAAAAAATATTAATTTAGCCAATAGAGGGGAAATATGGCTGACTGAAGTGCCGATTTGTGAATAAAACTAAAAAAACTGTCAGAGGAATTTTTAATTTAGGTAAGGTCAGTAAAATACATACTTCAATACAAAATGTCTTTGAAGGACCATCTCTATGCTGATGAAAAACACAAGGTGTGACATCTGAGTAGTTTTGAAATCGCCCTTTCCCTTTCCTAAATGAAAACTAGATAGAAATATTGTAGGTTTAATAAGAAAAGGGGGCTAGATTTTCGTCACTGACCAATATTCAACATTTCCCTTGGGATTCCAAATATGATTATAATTAATAACAGCTATTCACATAGGACTGTTGAAAGAATTTATGTGTTTTAATGTTTGCTTCTCTGTAACACTATTGTGATAACTTTGATAATCACAAAGAGCAGGACAATAATTTTTATTTTAGATATTTCCACATTGATGGTTGCAAAACTCTCAACTGAAGCTCATGGAGTAACTAAAGGGAATTAGTAAGCAAGCACTAATAAGAAAACCTCTTTTGACTTCTGCATATTTAATTTTAAAACTAGGTTATTTTTAGAAAATTATTTGTAAGGACTATTCATTTGCCTCAATAAGGGTTTTTATTTCTTGTCCTTAATCTTGCAAAGGTTTTGATGGTCAGATAAAGCCTTCAGTGGACATACAGGTAAGATTGTGTACTGCCACAGTATTTAAATAAAGTTTGAGTTTGTTCTGTAAGGTGGTTATTTCTAAAAGCTACCTGAACTTTCTGATCACATTTCTTTTGGTAGCATGTTCTGTAGCAATGAAAGCAAAGATAATTAGGAAAAACAGGGTTTTATAGAAGTTGTCACATAGGATAGTGCTGCATAGTGTAAGATGCTGGAAATTCAGATAGAAAGAGTTGAGATGCCCCAAAAAAAGAGATGAGAGTAAACCTTATTAGGTACCCATGTCCTTACTTCAGACACTAGTTATAGTCTGCAGCATGGTGCACAGGCAGACAATTCAAGGGCTCTAGAACAATTCAAGAGCTGAAAATGGGACACCTCCTGCACCTCCCCAGCTGTCCCTTCCCATGACCTTTGAGGTACCAGCTGTACTTACTGTCCTGAGAGTTGAGGGAATAGCAGATGAATAAGAAAATGTACTTTGCCTCATTCCCAAGCAGGCCTGGAACTTAAGAGCTAATAATAAGCTAGTATTTAGGCTTTTAGTTTCTGTCAGATCTTAGTGGAAAAGTACAAGCTTAAGTAGGTGGCTGAACCCCTAAAACACAACTGCATACAGTGCATTTATTCATAGCCATTATCTTTCACACCAAGTATAGTAAAAGAGAAAATTCTTTACAAAGTACTATCTTTCCAACCACAACTTTTCTTTGTAACTGTCTCATCAGAATGACTTCTTTTCATGCACCAGTTTGAGGTTTAAAACTATCAGACTGTAGAAACGAAGAAGAAACAAAGAAGTGTGTTCCTGAAAATAAAATACTGCTATCTGAACCATCTTCTCAGGTCCTGATCCCAAGCTTACCATGCCATTGAAAGAATTTCAAAGTTTGCATCACATCCTTACAAAGTGCTTAGGTTCGTGGTAGGGATTTTATAATGCACAAACAGTGCAAAGTAATCTCTGGCAGAACCCCAGCACATTCCATCAGTCTCTTTTAAGTGAATAGAGTAGCTCAACTTCTAGACAGTGTTAGCTTGGACCTGTCTGCACTCTCAATTCCTTTGCATGCCTTCTATCTTACGAATGTCCTGGTCTCTCTAACTTTGAACTAACAACTTAAACCTAATTGTACCTTAAAACCTTCCTAAGCAATCACCTTTCCTTACATGGCAGCATTCTGACATTACTGACACTCTGTCCTTGAGTACCTGAGAAAGCCCATCCCTTGTGCCCCTCAGCTTCAGTGTCGCCTGATGTGCCAGAAAAGGCCACTAGCTAGTAACAAACAGCCAGATCAACAGTGTGCTGACAGGGCTCTGCAGAAGGCTGTACTTCACCCTTTATTCAGACTGGGTCTAGATCTCTACAGTTACCACTGAGTTATGAATCAAGTCTTAAAGTCAATGGGATAAATGGTCACTGGTTTTGCCTGTAGCTTAGCTGAAGGATTTATCAAGGGTTAGAGGTTCAGCCTTTTTATTTATAAAAAACCCAGGACTGTCCTGGAGCCTTCTTCAGATGCACAGGCACCAGTGACGTAGAAGAAGCTTTCCTACATTTAGACAGTTCACTACCATGCCAGAATAATTCTGCCATTGTTGGTATCAAGAATGCTATTTTCTGCTTTGGGGTGTGACAGGTCACCAGTGCAACACAGGAGTGGATAACCCTTCATTCTGTGGACATTTTTCTTCAAGAACAGTGGGTAACTCTTGGAAAGGAGTTCACAAAGTTGGACGCTTCTCATCCTGAGCATCCTTACATACACCAAAAATCTTCCCAGGTAACCAGAGCTGTCCATGGGAAAAGCCATTTAAATCTTTACAAGAACATGTGCTGAGTTTTGGCAAACTTCCTTCCATCTTAAAAACAAAAGCCAAAATAAATTATAAATTAACAAAAAGAACTCCAAGTCCACGAGGAAGCCCTTGCCTTTTGTTTGCTATTGTTGTTTTGGTTTCAGGATGATGTATGGGCTCAAAGGGTTGTTGAAGGCAAAGTTACAAGAAAGGCTACCATGCAGTGTCAGCAGAACAAAGCATGAACAGAGTAAGGGCTGAAAACCAGTGCTCCCTTTCCATACATTGGCCAAATACAAACTGTTGACCTGCACGGCACATGACAGCACACACTGCTCACCTAAATGTATGTACTCTGAGTGGGATGCTGATACAGGATGGGGGAGAGAGAGAGCAATACATCTGTTAACCTTAATTCAGAGTTGAACATGAAAATCAGGGCATGATTCTTGAAAGAAAGCAAAGCAGAACTGCAAGCAGCTGGTTTTGAATACTGAGTATCTTTCATAACTTTAGAGAATCAGGGTAATACATCACGGTACTGGTTCAGCTCTTGCAGAAAATTGGAGTAGCCTTTTTTATACTTTTCAGCCAACATTAAAAAAAGCTTATTTTTATTCCAATTAATTTTTTTGGTATTCTGGGCCCCAGGCAGGTCACACTCAGCTGCCTGTACCTTAAGCCTGTGGGACTGGTTCTCCTGGTAACAGTGGAAAGCCATCCCAGTAATACTGTTACTTGCAAGTTTGGCAGCAAAAGTGAACAAAAAAATCAAAGCCCTTAGCTTAAAACAAATCTAACATAAGAAGTAGCCCACTTATAGTGGCATATTTTTTATGGGCAAAACGCACCTAATTATATGGATATTAATTGTAAATGTTCTTATTCCAAGGGGCTATAAGATCTCCCTACATATATTAGAGCTTGAAGGGACTACGTGTGCCAACATACGTGCACAATAACATTCATTTAATAGCAATCTGATTGGCAGTGTTTAGTCAAAACCACTATTTTAAAGCATTATTAACTTAATGCCCCCTTCATTTCCAATGTGAGGCAGTGCAAACTTGAAAATAGACTGCAAAAAGCCTTAACAGACTTTCTTAGTAATGTCTTGTTCCTCACCCCTCAGGTTAGTACAATAGCTCCATCCAAATCCAGCCAGTCAGAACCATGCTACAGTACACACAGTAACAAGCACAAAGGACAGACAGGAGGAAAGTAAGGGCTGGTATTTTCCACCTCTTTCTGTTGACATAAAATACTTTAGAACCTATACTGTCCTAGAAATCACTTTTTTTCCATGAGTGGTGTATGACAATTACAGGCTAGCACCTAGTACATTACAACCACTTACTCTCCAATAGTATATTGTTGAATGTTTTAAGGAAAGTGCCAGATCCCATATAAGACATCAAAAAAAAAAAAAAAATCCAAAACAGTAGTCAAATTAATCTGCGTACGTAATGGGATACTATTCAGAAAGACTGCTATGAAAGGCTCTCTTTTCAAGAGGTTCTTTTTGACATCCTCAGGGCAACTGGACATCTAGGAATGTTTGAGATACTTTGCTTGAACTAACAAAGTGTGGTATAACTGTTCTTGACTTTGGCTTTGTTGTTTGTTGGGGTTTTTTTGTCTAAATCTCAACAAAATGATGTATTTTTGTACCTATATATTTATTTATTTTTGCCAATATATGTATGAGGAATGTAATGAAGTGGCATTGTGCTGCTAGTAGCTTAGCAGATGTTGAAATCAGTTCCAGTTCCTGAAGACAACTTCTTGACGACATAGTCTCAACATTCACAATAACCAAAACATGTGGGATTTATAACATCATTCTTACAAATATATACTCTACCCCCCTCTGTGTTGTAAACCCTCAGCCTTACTTGTTTCCTTGTACTTTATGATCATATGTGCCTGCATGCTTATAACCAGATACATATCCTGAGTTATCCACCAGATCTTCTCGGCCAGCTCTGCCTTTTCCTTTCCCACTGGCATCAAACCTCTCTTTGTGAGAACCCGTGAATTTTGAAGTATCTGTAAGGCGTGATACAGTTGGAGATGAAACGGTTTTCTATCAAAGAGAAGAAACAAAACAAAAACACACATCAGAAATCAATTATTCTTAATACAGATATTTGTACAATGTAACCAACACTTAAATATTTGGAAATGGCAAAGACCATGTAAATACTTACACATTTCCAGCAAAAGGAGACAAAAAATATTTGTTTCTTGCCATTACATACAATGAAAATAATCATATAGCAAAGAAGAAAATAATACAAATTATGTCAAAACCTTTTGGAAGAGACTTTGAGTATGAGATACTTCTGATTAATAATAAAGCTCCAAGCACCAAAGATATGAAGAAGTCATAGGAAATAGCCATGTTCAAAATCCATTATGTCAACATTGAAGCATAAAAGCTTTGCTCCATCAATATAGAAAAAGTAAATCAACACAGCTAGCTCTTAAAACATACAGTTTTGTTGTTCACATTGACTTGGTAGCACCTTACAACCAGGAAGACTCTCAATGAAAGGCAAAGGTAATATTCAAATATTCAAATTATATCCAAGGGCAATGTGAGAGAAAACTGTGCACAGGTACCCCAGATACACTAGCAGCAGAAGGATTTAGGAATATTTATTTCTGAAAGCCAAGAACACTGACATGATGATGCTACCTACACCGGGCATGAAAAAATGCACTGCTTTTTCCTCTCCAGGCCTTTTTAAAGGCTTGCCTGCCCCCCTTGTGGGACCTACAAGGTTGTCTGTAAGAATTTTATCTTTTCAGGGAGTTAACCTCTCTGTAAGGCAAGAGAAGAAAAACACCAAACTACCAATGGGAAGATGTCCTTTCCCAGGCAGCAAAGCTTCCTTGAGTGACATAAATTCCCTCCTCCTTGAATAATTCTTCTGACAAAGGTCTTCTACACTTACAGGTAATTTTTCAAATAGTAATTAAACTTACCATTACAAATTCTCAGAACAGCAGTCTGTCCTGAGAATTAATTTGGTAAAGAAAAAGGCAGTCAACCAGAGTTTCTGAGAGTTCTCTCTGGATGTGACAATACAGTGTGTGCACATCTAGATAAAACTGATTTTCTATAAAATAGTGGTATTTAAATACATGGAAAGCAAATATGTGTTAATTTTAATTACTGTTTCCAAAAGAAAGACTACAGCTTCTGCGCCTTTATTTCAAAGGCATGGCACAAAAGGTATGTAATTTGTCTCAACACACAAATTACAATAAAAATACATATGAATTTTTGTACAGTAACATATCTGTTAACATACATAATAAAACTTGTGTGAGTGCAATAGGAAAGGAAATGAACACATATTAACATGCAAGAAGAAACAGTCAAACAAGGATTAATAGAATGGCCCATGTCAATACAGAAGGATGTTCCCAGAAAACTATTCCCAGGATATCATTCCCAGTGGTAAACTTGAGAAATGTGCTGTTTATACCAAGATATCTGCATTCTAATAAGACCATAACACCGATGACTTATCAGAAAATCAAGGTGCATCCTATCAACAAGATGATAGCAACAAGTTTGCAGTTTTACTTAGCAAAACAGTATTATATATAATCATTCAATGTTCCAAAATGAGTTTACAGAATGAATTGACTAAAGGATTTTTCCATAAATAGCAATATTTCTGTTGTCCAAGACTGACCATTCTTCTCTTCACTTAGTTATGTCCATTAACACAAGCCAGCAGCTATAGTTTCAGTGTCTTTGACTATCAAAAGAAGAGATCACTGACAAAAGACCTGTTTATTCATCAAACTTTTTTTTTTACTGGTATTTTCCTGGGCCACTGTGTTCCCCCAAATCTTAAAAGAAATATTTTAAAAATTACTTTTGCCCCTTTACTGTCAGTTTCCAACCAATGGTGTGGTCACATGACCTCCAAGTTCACAAAAACCTCTCAGTTGAGTCAGGAAAGGTATGTATGCCTCCCGCCTCACTTAACTGAAATTCCTTGCACACTAAAACCTCATTGAGAAGATCATAATAGGCCACAGCCTCAGAAGCAACTATGGGAAAAATAAGAAGCCATTTTACTTGGACCAGTAGATTTGCTAACTTAAAGCAATCATGCACTTTTTGTTAGCAATTCAGTATTTTTCTTTGCCTTCTGTCAGTGTCTACAGAGAAGTGCTGCTAAGACAGTAAGAGTCTTGGATCATGTGGCACACATGGAAAAGATGACAGAAGGGTGTTTATTCAGACTCAGAATAAAAAAAGGAGAGGCAAATCTAATTCCTTTCCTCAACAAATGGGTAATATTGCAGTTCAGAAGTAAACAATAAGAGGCACGATTTGGAAGATGCGAAGTTCCAACTAGCATCACAGATTTCACACTAGACACATGAGAAAAAATTTTTCACTACTGTGGTTGGTCAAGCATAGAAAGAGTGAGGAACACTATGTCCCTAAGGATTATCAAAACTTCAGATTACAAAGTCACTGATCAATTTAGATTCAAAGTCTTTATCTAGCATAAAGCCCTGCTCATAGCAAGGCTCAAATAAACTTGTATAGAAACTCCTCTAGTCAAGTCATGAACACCTCCAAAGACAGAGGTTCCATAGCCTCTCTCAGCAATTCATTCCAGTGTTTGACCACGCTGCAGGTAAATAAACAAAACAAAAAAATCCAACATCTCATCCAAATTATCCAAATGACCAAAATTATGTTCACACTTCTGTCTGTCTAGAACAACCCTCAGATCAAAGACAGGAATTGAAAGCTGTAGAGTCTTTAAACCCTGAAAACTTTAACCACATTCCTCCCTTGTCCTTTCTCATGAAAGACAACTCTGCAAACTTGGCCAAATTTTGCCATCTACCTCAAGATAACTGATGAATCAAGGAGCACTTTACAAAACCCATTTCATCAGTTTCAAGAATGTGAATTAGTATTAGAAATGAACTATCCATCCTTAGGAAATTGAAAGGAACTACAGTAAAAAGGAAATGAGAGCACAGAAACCAAAATCATGTATTTTGTCTACACTACTGTGGAAGAATAGAGCAGTCTGCTGAAGAAAAACACATCCACTTGAAAGCACTGCTGCTGCACTGTCTTGGGTTGTTTGCAGCAGAAAAACAGCATCAAAACAATTAAGTAAGCATGAATTTTATGGACTCAACAGAACCTCTAACTCAAATTTTGTGGCAAAAGTCTAGAAGCATCCTATGAAGCTAGTGCCACAATCATGAACATAAGCTAACAGTGTAGGAACACAAGATTTCCCACACTTGCAGGAATTTTCCTTCCAGAACAAAGTTGAGGCAAAGAAGAAGGGAGACGATTCAGTGCTGCCAAGATAGTGTTCTCCAGTTGCTGTCAGAGTGCATTACCATCCCTTTTACAAAGTACATAGTTTGAAGCACCAAGTGAATGCCAAGGAAGCTGGAGCATCCACCTTGCACAATGCAAAGGGCTGGACAAGCAGGTCAGTGCAGCACCACGCACTTGCAGCTGCACAGTTCTCCTTTCAGCAGCCAGCACAGTCCCTGCCAAGCTCTCCATACCTGTGTGCCATGCGGCTCTGTGCACAACATGGCACCGTTCCCAAAAGAATCTCCAGAACCAATTACTGGGAAGTAAAAGCCGCAAGAAAAGCTACTGGACTCCAGGAATATCACACATTCAAAACAGACACGGAGTGCATTGGTTTTCACAATGAACTCGTGGCTCCACTGAAACAGTTTTGCCTGAGGATATTTTCCACTGCTTGCCACCACTCACAAAGATTCAGGTTTGATTTAAAGCTGTTCCACAGCTTAGGCAGAAACTTACGGCCTTGATGCAAAACCCTGCAGTTAGGTTTTCTGAGGTTTAGGTGCCTGATTTACAAATATCAGGCACAAACAAAATAGTACAGAAACCTTCCTTCCTGCCTGAGGCGCTGTGTCTTTTTAGTAACCAGTGCTGCGAGCGCCTGCACTGTTGAAAATGCTGGTGACAGGCAGGAGGTGAGGTGCTCTTGTTACTCCTCACCAGAAGGATACACCATCTCAGATGGAATACCTCCATGGCATTCCTGGTTGCACTCTGATAGATTCCCTTCCTCAGTTCTTCACAGAAACTGAATGGCTTCCTGCATTTGTTCCTTCAACCATAAAACTTCAGTATCTAACAGCATGTCTTCCTAGAAAAAGTTGCCATGGAGATTTCTTTATGTAATTAACATGTTCTGAGATCCTTCAGAATCAGCACCAACACTTGCAATCTTAGCAAGGTCTTGACAATTACTGATCTGCACAAATGAGAACCTAAAGCTGACTATAAAAGGGTAAGTTTTACTTTTCAAGGGGAGGGGGATTATACCAGAACTCCATACCAAAATCATATTTATTTTGGTTTTAAATTCATGGGAATATATACACATGCAGTAAAAATCTTCAGAAAGTCAGAAACAGAGATCAAGGTTCAAAGAAAAACTGGGATTTTGTTCATGTTCTTTCATTTTAGCACATGCACAAACAGAAACACACAGAAGCAACCTAACCCTAATCCTTCCCTTCCCTCTAAGATTAGCCCTCAACTCCTGCTCTCCAGCATTTCAACACTCCAAATCATGGGATCTATCAGCCTGCTTAACACAACCTTCCACAAAGTTGAAAACAACCTGTTAACACTTCTCTGAGGAGTTTCATATTCTTACTGATAGTGAACACAAAACAGAATAGGGAAGATAGTACAAAGTCACCTTTTTTTTCCAATGGGTGTGTTGCAGAATCCTTGAATTTAATGTTACAATCAGTCTTTAATGAGACTTGTTCTGAAGTTAGATGCTATCAAGATAAACCTTTACATAGATCACAATCTCTCTTCCTCATTTTCCCCTCTGTATTTCCTGAAGGGCCTCCATACATCCAGTGCAGCACTCCAGCCAGGAAAGCTGTCCTACCGCACTTGCAGAATCTCAGTGAGGTTACTAATTTGTCCTGCTTTTCCCATGCTATTTACTTTTTGTGCAGGCATTTGAGATGAGCCCCATGTCCTGCTACATTTACAGATGGGTAAGAGCCTCCCTTGTCAGGCTTGTCACCTAGACATACTGTTCTACCTTTTATGATCTTTCATCTTTAGGTTATGGTAACCTTCCATACCCAGTCTAATAATCTCCCCAGCAGATCAGTAAATCTAGTTTGCAAAGATACTCTCGTTATACTTCGGTAGAATTATTCCATTGCTGCTCAGTAGCCCTCATTCCTCTGACCACAGAAGCCAAAGCCTCCTCTTCAACACAAGCCATACAGTCTAATTCTCCTTCCTGGACTGGGAAGACAAGATCAGACCTCCCTCCTCTTCACCCTCATCCATTGACTTCTGTAGTCTCTCCTTATATGCTCCAGGTTACCTCCAGAGCAGTACCCTTGGTACCCACAACAAAACAGGTCCATGTTAGAAGGCTGGACAAATCTTGTGAGTGCATCCACAACAACCTCAGATCCTGGCATCCACCAAGCAACAGCACTGCTGAGACATCAGGTGAAATGAGAAAACACATGCCTTGATCATCCACAAGAGGAATCTTCAGTAACTACCTGTGCCTGGTACCCATTGCTTCTGACACCTGGTACAGCACTGTTGCCAGGGTGTGGTGACATCCATTACAGAACAAGGAAGTATAATAGTTCACGAGATACTCATGTTTGGGATGGCAAAAGGGATGATCCCTCCGTGGTCAGGGATGTGTCCTGTGACTGTTCACTCAATTCCTTTTCAGATTTTGGCTAACACACAGCTCATGCTAAGGCCTGATGTATGATGGGAGCAGCACCATTAGTACAATGGACTGGAAGAGATAAAGATCATCATGTAGTCATTATCACCTGCAACCTTCTGCTATCTGCAGCTAAAATTCTTGCATACTGATTGTCTGGCAGCCACTTCAGAATCCACTAACTTAAGAAAATTGTATAGACCAAAGGCTCACAAACTTATCCATCCAAAAGGTTTTTGAAGCAGATTCAAGAGCAGACTGCTAAGGCTTTTGTGCTTCTACAGGGGACACTCACACCTCCATAGAAGAGGAAACAGATTGGGGGGAACCTCACTGTGGGCTAGACAATCACAACACTCCCTCTGTCATTGTTCTTACATATTTTTTAAAGTTTGAGTCCAGATTATGATGATTATATTGCACGCTGATTATTAAGAATTTGACCCGATCTGCAGAGTGTTTAGGTGACTGAAAATTATAGGTAACTGCAATTTTAGGTAATAATAGGGAAGTTATCCTAAATGCTAAAAATTAAGTGCAATGAAAAAATCTTTCCATAGTAATAAAGCTCTAATTATAAGTACAAACCTGCGGCCAGTTCTCATTCTACCAAAGATCCTTAAAAGAACCTGCCTGTCCCCATAGTGAGATAGTGTTGGTTGACACTATTATTAATTTTTTTCGCTTTTGTGTGAATACTAAGTTCAGGTTCAGCTGACTCTGATGGGTCTTGTTGATACTCACCAGTGCTCAGAATACTATATGTATTCTGAAATTGGAGAACTGTAGATGGAAAGAAGTCACAAGCTCCCAGCCTTCTCTATCTCCATAGTCCCCATTCACTTGGTCTCCAGCTGTCGCTCCTTCCTTAACTTGTGTAGCTTGTGTTTTCCACAAATACAATGTCAGTCTTCTCTTCATTGTTCCCCACAATCTGGAACCTCAGGACCTTGACCACAGCACATTTCCCACAAGAGAGGCAACCACTGCCATGACCTCCAGGAAGACACAGGAGCTCTGAAGAACAGGTCCTGGATATAGGACTTCTTCTTATAAAGCCAAGGACTCTGATGTACTAATGGCAGTTCTGTAGACTTCTGTTAATGGATGTCCATGTGCTGGACGGAATGTATCCTGTAGCTTTTTCAGACTACCATTGTACAGTCTTCAAGCAGATCCACAAAGTCTTAAGTGGAATTTCTAAGCCTCTCGGCTTCCCTGCCCTTTCCCTAACAGGTCCATTTTTGTGAGAAATCAATCTTGCCCACATCACCATTACTCTAAGTACCCATCACCCAGCTTTTAAAGTGTTGTCACTGCTGCACTGCCCTGCCACCCACACCACTCTCACAGCAAATGTAACTGGATTGAGCCCCAAATACCCTGATCTGGATTTGAAGTTTGCCATCCTATCAGCAGGTTTGAATGGGATCATCCCAGGTCTCTTGCAATTGAAATCATTCTGCATTTCTATGTCAGGGGACCTGATGAATACACACTGAAGTTCAACCACTGAAGTGGTTTTATTTTAAGAGTATCTGTTCCACAGGAGGTGTAGAAATGCATTCAACATTGTTATGGCACAAAGCCTTTAGTACAGAAAAAGAAAGAACCCCAGTCTTGCTCTTGTAACCTTTGGGTAGGACTGAGGATAACTAAAAGGCCCTAGACTTCATTTACATGTCTGATTATAAGCTGTCCAAGTTACATGACCTGTATTGTATATTTTATTGACAGATCACTATCAAATGAGCTAATAAAGCTACTGGGCTCATTAACCCCTATCACTTTCCTGTTGTTTTTCTTTCTGTGTGCCCAAGCCAACCATACACTTTCTGTTGCACATTAGAAAGCAGCCCGAAATTCACTCAGTTTCACTGTCTGGCTGCTGAGCCTTCTCAACCACATCAGGCAAGGATTTCTGTAATTCCATAACATTCCAAAGGAAAAGAAAAATAATAAACAGGAAAAGAAAAAAAACCCCTTCTATTGCAACATACACGAAAATCCTCATACGAAGGTAAACTTTCCAACTGTCCTGTTGAAGCAGTGGTTTCCCCAGGTTGCCATTCAGTACAGACATATGCCCTCCCCTGACTGCCTCCCCAAAATACCCAGTACAAGAAATAAGAAGCTAAGACACAAAAATTCCCACATGCTGCTGAAGTATTCTTATCCACAACCTTCACTTAATTATGCTTTCAACTCCTTCCCTAATATGTTTAGATTAATGTGTCAGTAGTTACACTTCAGTTTTCTGTCTGGAACCTGAACCAAATCTACACGATGTACAGCAGAGCTATACACAGCAGGGCACACACTACATGGCATGACTGAGTTATCCTAGAACAGTTTAAGAAAAGCTTCATGTGACTCTGTCTAACCATACAGAAAGCAGTCCTACTTAAAATTTCCAGGATACAGACTTCCCATAGTAAACAAAGAAAGCATTAGTATGCTTGTATAGATATTTCATATCTGCATCCCTGGGTTGCAGGGACAGAATGGCCATGTATTAATGTATTTATTTTAATGCCCTTAATAGCCAAGTCCATATGTAATTTTTGCCATCCACAAACTAAATTAGCATGATAAAGCAAACACGAAAATTGGTTTTATATACACACACACACATACACACACTCCCAAGCCTGCAATCTCCCTCGCTTTTAATCTCTGCCTCCTGTCTTTTACTTTTCCAGGTAGCAAGAGAGAATATTGTGATCTTTCTTTACTTTTTCTCCAACTCTCCACAGGACTGTACATACAACAGGAGTACAGGCAAGCCTCACACTGCTGGCTCATATTCCCCCTCCATTCCTTCTCCCTCTGCTGCTGCCACACTCCCATACCTCTGCAGAACCTACATGATATCACCTGCATCTGCAAAGCTCTCTTATCACCCTGTCCCCCACACAGAGAGAGGCTATTGCCTTAGTAGCAGACACTGTTAATTTCAATGTCTGATTGAGGTAATACCAAAAATGGAATCAGGAGTGAGGCCTAGAATAATGTACATGATTCAAAAGGAGAACTCCTGAACAGATGAAGTTCTTCAAATTTACTAAGATAAGTGAAGAACAAAAAGGAAGGTTCAACATTTTAAGTCAGTATCAAAACTACCACTTGTTTTAAATGAGAGTAAAAAGAGCAATAAAATAAAATCTGGTAAAAATCTGACAAATCGTACAACTCAAAAGAGATCTTTCCACATGATATTTACCCTGACCATTTGTACAGAACGAATTTCTGGAAAGATTATATTTTCATTCACCGTTCTAAAGCCAAAATTCAGCAGGATCACAAATTTTAAGCAGATGAACTAAACTGCAGTACTATTCAAGCTGATGGTAAACACTCCAGTATGTCCTAAGCTACAGGGTAAAAGCTTGCCTAGCCTGAGCATTTAAAAGGACAACCAAACTTATGTACAGTAGGCTTTATAACTTCCTTTTCAAACATAAAGCTTAATAGCAATATTTTAAAATGAAAAAGAAAGAACATTATAGTTCCGACAGACTTGGAGATAAACAAAAAACAAAGACAGACCATGTGATAATTTTTCTCAAATTTCCAGTGTTCTGGGATTCACATGATGCAATTAAATGTATTTTATGATGTCTTTACTTTAGTCATTTTGGTATTTCACACAACATCTCAGAAATGTCTAATGAGGTTCTAAATTTAATTCCTTTCTACTCTCTTTGATTTGGATACACCTCCTTCATGAATATTTCTTTGTTCTAACCATACACAAGAGCTCCAAAGTTTCCTGACAGTGCTGCTAGGTGGTACTACAATTCTGACAGGAGCAATGACAGCGCCACACAAGAATACATAGTATGCAATACTTGGCTGTTGCATAATCTTCGCTCCCATTCTGCTCAGTAGTTGTTGCCTTTGGGCTCACAGAGGAATTGGATTTGTGGATTGTAAAGGGAAGCAGGTGAATACAACAACACTGCAGTGGAACAAAGGACAGGTGGAAACAATGCATCCATTAGATCAGTAACATACCGTTACTCCAGATAAACCTGGGCCTTTTCCTTCAATTAGTTTATACATTTCTTGAAGTGCCTCCTCTTCACTCTTGCCTTTAAATCGCTTCTTGGAGAGTTCTTGAAGAGCTTCCTTAAACTGATCAAAAGTAATAGTTCTGCTGCCCTTTGCCCTGTTGAAACAAACAGCAATTGAAAGAAATTACCAGAGAGCACAAAAATATTCCAGGAATAGCAGAATGGCTTTGGTTTACCACAGCGAACAACAGAACAGGAAGACCCATGCAGCCCATTTATGCCGTCAAATAAAAGATACCCCAGGAACATCACTTTTGGTTTTTAGGTACATCAATAAGACAACACTTCAGAAATTTCCCTTGACAAACATTCAGAAATAAAGAGGAAACAGAGGGACCTGATCTGCTGTTAAAATGCCTGCAGCTCATCAAATCAAATATAGCCTCATTTGGTTGATCATTTGTAAAGCCTGCATGCATAAGACAATAACTGAAGCATCTTAGATAAGTCTTGTTATTTACTATTTTTTGTTCCTCTTTGAATAACTGTTTATCATATTATTCACTATTCATGTATTCACAAGTAAATTAAGAATAATGCTATTGTGTAAAGCAAACTATTGAAAAGCATTTAAAAACTTGAAAATCCTTCTCTATTAAAGACTGACAAAATTTTTAAATGACACATTTAAATTCAATACATGTTCTGCTTCTTAGACCATCACCTTCAAAAAACATTCACAGGTGCACGGAAAACACAATAGCAGTCTGATAAACTCATAAAGCCCCTGGATATTCAGAGCTGAATACTTGCTGTTGTTTTCACTAATAGGAAGACCATATTTCCACATTAGTAAATCACTTACTTACATTTACTTTTAGTGGAGAGGGTTTTGTTATAGCAGTGTATGGTGCAAAATCTGACCAGTAGGAAATTCACACTTTACAAACACCAATTTATACTGTTATTGCTGCAGATCTTTTTTGTCCCGTCAGACCAGAGGGTTCAATTGATAGAACTCTTACAAGGAAACTCAGCATTCACTACAGAGATGTGTTTAACCCAAAGCAGGTTAATGCATGCCTGTTTTCTAGAATTTTAAAATATTCAGTTTAGGCAGGAGATAATGTTGTGGAGTACACACTGTTCTATTCTATTCCCTAATACAGAACAATTTTTAGTGCTCATCATTTTAAAATTCAGGTATGAGGCCACAGCATTAGTGAGTTTACTCACCATTTTAAAAATTCCTATTTTTATTTTTCTGTGAATTACAGCAGACAGAAGCCACACCTGTTCCTGTATCAGTAAATTAAGGATTACCTGGTCTTTTGGATAAGAATTTACACCTCAAAATGTTGCCTTGTATTTTAAGTTAAAATTTAATAGATTAAATTAATAGATAAAATTTAATAGCTAGAAACATTTTCAAAAAGTTGTTTTAATACTTACACTGATTTAATCTTAAATAGGACCATCTTCAAAAGCAGAAAATGTTTCCAACATTACAAAACCCTCAAAGTCAAAGTAATATTTGAGAGTCCATGTTGCTGGGAAACATGCTACTACACAAGTTTTGTTTGCTGCTTGAGTATTTCTTTTTATGCCAATTTAGAGAGCATTTCAAGCAAAAAAAATTTTTCAGGAAAAACAAACCAGCCACCACCACACAGTCCAGACCAGTCCTTTCAGCAGTGACAGCTGTTTATGCAGGAATAAACAATAGATGTTAGGATAGAGAAAGTGTGCACTGGTAATAGAAATAGTGGGCTAGAAAAACTATGCATAGAAATCTAATTTTATTTCAAGTGTCAAAAAGACCACTGTGAGGAGCAATTCAACTATCTGTCATTGCTTTATCTTTGATCTCCTAGACATCTTCTGTGGTCAAATCCCTCCCAGTGGAAGAGTGCCTCCACTGGTGAAAAGAAGTGAGATCTCTGGTTTAGAGACCATCAGTTAGGAAGCAATTCCTACTTCATTTAATTAAACACAAACCAAAATTTTATCCCAGGTTTTCAAAATAAGGAGAAATTAGTTATTCACAACAAAATTCAACACTAACAGAATGCTTTACATAACCATTCATCACTGGCATGCTTTATTTCCAGTGCAGCCCAACGTATGTAGCAAATCCCAAGAACCCCCACAAAATAAATTTTTTCTGGTTTTTGACCAAACAACACTTTTGGCAACTACTTGTCTGCTTTAGGTGAAGCATGTGCTTGAGTATCTCAGGGAATTAGCTAGTGAAAGAACATCATGACAGTAAAAATGCAGAATATAATCCAGTATTTCATTAATCAGAAAGACACATGGAATAAATTGCAATTAACTACTTGGAATTTCTCCAGGATTTTCATTAATAGGATTAACATCCCGCTTCTGATGAAACACATACAAGAACTTTTAACTAGTTCAAGCAGTCAAGACTTCATTTTGGTTTGTCTCTCCTTTAGAAAAAGACAGAACTGGCAATCAGTGCAAAACTTCAGCATAACAACTCCCTTAGGCCCTTGTTCACTGCAGATTTATGGCCAAGTCTACCACACAAACATTTCAAAGATAATTTTCTGTAGCACATAGATTTAGCTTGGATCATCAGTGATGATCATCACAATGGGAAAGGGAATGATCACTTTCAGCAAAACCTGCTGAAATTCATGTTGACTCCTTTATTTTTCACAGAATATTCTGAGTTGGAAGGGACCCACAAGGATCATCGAGTCCAACTCTTAAGTGAATGGCCCATGTGGGGATCTAACCCACAATGTTGGCATTAGTAGCAGCATGCTCTAACCAACTGAACTGACCTCACGGGTTTTATTAACACATGAAGAATTTTTGGTTGCACACTTATTAACAGAAGAGCATGACTGCTTGTTTTTTTTAATTAAAAGGAAAAATACATAAATAAGGGCACTGAGAGGAACAAAGAACATCTAGTACAAGACACAGGTATACCTATCTTTCACATTTGCTCTTTTCCCTGTCACTTACATGGGGCAAAGAAATCAGGGTTTTTTTCCCTCCAACTTAAGGTGTTACCAACAAATTGGACACATATGTGACCAATGTAGGTTTTTTTTAGTATTACAGTTGGACCTCAAAAGAAAAAGAAATGTGCACTGTGGCTGATATTCTTTACCAGAAAACAACATTAACTGGAGTGACACCAGAAACAGGATTGAAAGTAAAGGAATTTTTGCAACTATATCCCAAGTCTCCTAAATAAAGCAGCTTTAATTTTGAAATTCATTATCTTTTTCTACACTCCAAAAACGTCACCACTCTCCCCTCCATCTATTACAATATTATCAAACCCCTGTACATCACCACAAGGTACAAACACTTGTACATCACCACAATTAACTCAAAAACTCTACAGTTGTATCATACATCAAGTCTTGTGGAAAACCCTAGGAACATAACTCTTGATTAACTCATGTGTTCTGGCCTTTTTTTTTTTTTTTTGGTCAGGTATGGAACATGTATGCCATTTACCAGCATCTAAATTACCAAGTAGCAATCCTACACCCCTGAGCAGTTGCTGTCATCATTATTACCAATTAGGACAGCATTCTACTGCCTTCTCTTCTGTCTGTACAGTCATGGGTTGAATGCAGAGGAGAAAACAGACTGAGTAGGTAGAAATGACAGAGTAAGTCTCTCAACAAACCTCAGCCAGAGGATCAGCTCTCTTCAGATCCATAAAAACACCCTGTGGATAATGACTTGAGAGTACTATTGGATGGAAAATTGCACATGAGCCGGCACTGTTCACTCACAGCCCACAAGGCCAAACCATACCCTGGCCTGCATCAAAAGCAGCATGACCAGCAGGTCGAGGGATGTGATTCTGCCCCTCTGGAGCACTATATCCAGCTCTGGGGCCCCCAACATAAGAATGACATGGAACTATTAGAGTGGGTCCAAAGGAGGTCTATGAAGATGAAAGGGAAGCAACACCTCTGCCATGAGGAAAAGCTGAGAGAGTTGGGGTTGTTCAGCCTGGAGAAAACAAAACTCCAGGAGACTTTATTGCAGCTTTTCAGTACCTAAAGAGGTCTTACAAGAAAGACGGGGACAGGGATATTAGCAGGGCCTGTTATGATAGGACAGGGTAATGTTGTAAACTAAAACAGGCCAGATTCAGACTAGATATAAGGAAGAATTTTTTTAGGAGGGTGGTAAAACACTGGAACAGGTTGTCCAGAGAGGTGATAGATGCCCTTGAACATTCAGGGTCAGGTTGGATGGGGCTCTGAGCAACCTGGTCTCATGAGTATGTCCCTGCTCACTGGGGAGAGGGAGGGAGGTGGCAGGGGCAGTGGTGTTCAACTAGATGATCTGTAAAAGGTCTCTCCCAACCCAAACTATTGTATGAAAAATTATAATACTATGAACACTGCATAACACATAAGGGTAATAAACCCTCAGTTTATTTCCAGCATTTTTAATACCCTGTTCACATTCAGAAAACCCCTTCCTAATACCAGCTTTTCAGAGGTCATGAAGTTAAACTAGAAAAATAAACACACCACAAAAACACCCAACTGTAACCCCCCCAAAAGAACTAATTTCTTTCTATTAAACAATTGCTTCAAAGCATCAGCTTCTTTGTGTATATTTGTAACTTGTTTTCAGAAGCTCATTATACAGATCTCGTTTCCATGGAAATAACAAAACAAATACATCACTTTCATTTTCCAAGTGTTACCAGTTCAAACAAGTTGTCTACAATTAAGTATGTCAAGGGTGATCACTCAGCTCTTAACACTCCTCTCTTAGGGTTAGCATTCCAGAGAGTTAATACAGACCTAAAAAGAAGGTAAAATACTTTAGATTTAAAAAATATTAAAAAATCAGAGACTGGAAATGAAAATTAAAACTGACCAGAAAATGAGACAAAATGGAAAATAGTAACAAAAGGGGGAAGGTGGGGGAGAAAAAAAAGCTTTTACAAAACCAGGCATCATAAAGTTGGCCACTTCAATGAAAAGAACAAAATATATTTGAGGGACATTAATAATAAAAATTTTTAAAGTCTGTACTTTATTATGACACAAAGAAGCCTTTATGTTTAGAAAGAATACATTCTTGCATACCATACCATTCTATTTTAAGCTCTGCTTCTTACAAAAACCAGAATTAC